TATATATATATATGTATATAAAATAAGCTATAGATCGAAGCAATTGCATTTTATATTCGGCTGTAGAGATGATAACGGAAACTACAACGCCAATGAAAGTGGAATTCTATTGGTTTAAACTGCATAATTACAATTATTGTGTGGCGACCAGTGATAATACCTAGTTTTTCGCGCGTAAGGAGGTGAAGCGAGAATTGAGCCCACTATCCGATGGCTGAAAGCCGACTGCTTAAGCCAATGAACCCACATCTCCACAATAAAAGTACATAGGTTCATTGAACAGTATCTATAAAGCACTTGACACTGAAAATACCAGGAATGTGATTTAAAAACAAGAGTATAATAACAGAAAGAAGTTTGTCTTCTCAGGTAGTTGTGGGCTGTCGGCAGGAATTCCTGGATTTAGGTCTCGTACTTGCAAGGCATATCTGTAATCTAGAAGGTAGTACCTTCTAGACTGGACATTCAAACCCACTCCACTCATTACTGCAGTCAGAGACGTTGCATTGAAGTATTCACAGACCGGTGACAAATCTCCTGTTGGTCTAATCCTTAGTGTTGGTGCCGAGTTAGCAATGTGGTCACCAAATTAAATGAATAACATTGCGGTACATTATTAAATGATGTTACATAATTAGATGCTAAATTCTGTCTCTTGTATTACACTGACTATTAATAAAGGATTAACTCATGTCAAAATACACCTAGATTACTACTTCATAATACTTCTGAATAATGAACATGGACCAGTTTGCTTAAATAACCCTGATATTTTTTTCATCAGGAATAGGTAGTCTTACTCTTTGTATGTCATTCTGAATGATAAATACGCACATAATTATGTCCGTACGTCAAGCAAATAACTTATTCAGAAAGTTAAACAATATGAGGTCGACAGGATATATGCATACAGTGATGTGAACACCAAAGTCAGACAACATAGCCTAGTATCACCGATTTAAATTCCTCATTGTCGTGGAAAAGGTCAAACAACAGACCATAGTGTGCGAAGTCACCTATTTCACTTATCAAGACAACATTGTTTCGATTACCGGCAGCAGAGATGAGGATATCATAGGTAGGATCGGATAATTAAGATAGATAGATGTTCATTACTCTGAAATAAGTGTTAAAATCTACTGCGCTCAGCATAAGCAACAAGATTCTGATTTTCAACAGTAATGGCAGGTCATTTCTTCTTCTATAAGGTTCAGAGACTTGAAGCATGAGCCACTCAAAGCACACCGAACAGGCTTCAGACTTTTATCAATAGCTGCCTTCGCTCCATACTGAAGATCAGAGGGTCAAAAGGTATTATAGCAACAAGTAACCGTGAGAATAAACCAACCAACAACATATTACCCAGCAAGCATGCGGATGATGCATACGAATTGGACATAAGCCGAAGAGACTGTAGAGCGATATCACGCGCGAAGCAAGCCCACGAGTTGAAGCCGGATGGGAGACGAGTTAGGCGTGAATCTGAGGGTGACATGAAGGAGACTGTGTGAGGAGATGAAAGCTTACAGGCGATTTTGCAGAGAATGTAGACTCAAATGTAGATGTACTGTTGAAATTCTATGTTCCACTCGGAACCCAAGGGAATAATAATGATAATAATAATAAAAATTAACCAACAGAATATACACACAACTAGATATTGCCTACTTACTCTTTACTTTTATTCGGCTGACTATCGTAGATATTGGAAGTGAGATCCAAACAACTATGCGATAATTTTACTGTCTGTGAAATAGGAAAACAGAAGAAAAAAAAGTTAGAACAAACAATGACATACGTCCTGCGACATAATACATGTTACTGACCGATACAGTTAGTCGCCAACCACTCATTTCAATTAATATTTGCAGGCGAAACAGATCCAGGTAATGTAAACAACTCATAGCGTTCAATTTGTGCACGTTAGACTTCATCAGAGGCATGCACCAGCATAGGATCTGGCAAACACGACCGATTCGTTACAAACCACTTAAATTTCGCGTAGCTACATTAGCCGATTAATAATACCGAAGATCAGTTAGGAAGGATAACCAACCAGAAAGACAACAGGTAGCAAATCAGCCTACGATCTATTTATTACCTACCAAATATGGAAAATGGAAATAGAGATAGTTTGGAAATAACGCTGAAGAGATACCTTCAAAGGAGATTACAACACACGTCAGGTATCCACCCAAATGGAAGACGACAGACTGGGCGTATATATCCAATGGTGATATGGAGATCATACGACGAAGAAATAAAAGCATATATGCAGTCATGGAATCACCAGCTAGATGAAAGTGACAACAGAGGACCGAGTGCAGTGGAGATGTGCTAGTCAAGTTCTATGTCCCACTAGGGACAACACAAAGCTAACTATATAATTCAGGCTCTATCTTTCTCTTTCGCACACACACACACACACTTCACATCGACAAAATAAAAGTAATGAACGAGCGCACAGCAGATAAATGAAATGCTACCACTACCAGCATATATCAATACAGAAGTACACACAAGTAGGGGTTTATAAAAACCACTACTACTACTACTACTACTACTACTACTAACAAAATCATGTGGTTGCAGATTGACATTTAATAAAAGACGAGAAAGAAAGGAATTGTAAAAACAAGGGACTAGCAGTACTGCAGAAAGAACAAGTGCAATTACACACACACGCAAGAACGCAAACACGCACGCACATACACACATACACGCAGGGCGATTTCGGTGTTTAGAAGTTGAATTTATAAAACTTAAAAACTCTTAAGACAAATAAGGGATTGATTGTTAAAAAACGCGCTTACAATTAAATCTTTTTTTTCTTAAAAGTTAATCTGATCAATCACACTTTTACTTTTTCACCAACAATAAAATAATGATAATTTTAATTATAGGTGAATTAAAGTACGCAAAAGTACTTCTATACACATTATACATAACTTTATAAATAGTAGTATATAGCAGTTTTACCAAAGAGAGATTTTTTAAATTTTTTTATTGCATAACACGGTTTCAGTGAAAACTTCAGTTTGACTCGACGAATTTCACAGTGAAGTAGTGGGTGTTGAAGTGAGTGTTTATTCGCATGAATTCAATTTATTTCAAGAGTGACCACAAAGTGATTTCATTTAGAGAACTACTGAAATCCACGGAGTACTGGAGAGGTGTTACCGTCCTTGTTTGGGAGTTTTCAGGTGGACGCACGGTTATATTGCGATGCAAGCCCACAGAACATTTACAGTCACTAAGATGAAATCCACTGGTATTCAGTGGTTCTCTCGAACTGAAGTCAATTTGTGATTAATCTAGAAAGTCTGCTTTCGGAGGACATATAGTTTAGATTTTAGCGTTTAAGGATTGTTTCCTCCACTTAAAGTAAACTAGAAGATTAATCTACTGACCATCAGGTTTTAATTTCATTTTAAGTTAATCAAAGTTTTTCCTGTATGACATGTTGCAACCGTTCACTAGTTCTTTATCAGTATTATCAACACATTAGTTATTCTACCAGACCTTCTCATCGATTAGTAGACTTGCATATAACGACTTCCAGAACAACAATACCAGAAGAGGCTTGAGGAGGTAATAAAGTAGTGTATTCAAGATATTTAGGGTTAGAATTCAGTTACCTGGAGCAAACTTGGTATATACAACACATACTGTGTAAAGATTATTGATTGAACTCAGACGATCACAATGAAGTAGGGTGAAACGAGTATAAAAAAGGTAGTAAGATACTATGATATACGGAAATGTCTGGGAGAAGATATAACTACATGAGGAATGATAGGAATTTAATGGATCATGGAGTTCATAAACAGAAAATGCATCTGCGCCACTGAAAACGATTTTTAGACATACCAATCAAGCAGCATCTTTAAGACCCCAACCGGACAACATACACACTTCCTTACACCACTTGAACCAACAGTCAGAATTCATGGGATTCAGGAGAATATATGTTTTGCCATTCTTCACCTAGAAGGAATATATGATTAGAGTACTCTATAGCGGCCAAGACCTCAACACGGAAACAAGTCAATCTCTAAGTGGCTAAAGTCAGTTAGCGTCAATTCCACTAGTACAAATGTAATGAAATTGAATTTTTAAAAATAAAGACATTGAACACCTCTGACAGACACCAGTGGTTGTCATAAATTCATATGACAACTTGCCATAGCTGCGTGTATTCAAATACAGTGACGTGATTATTACGATATAATTTCTTTGCACTACCTTCACTTCCAGACATTGCAAAAACACCCTTCAAGTCGGTGACACCTTGAGGTCAAGAAATACGACAAGTGTTGGACGCCAGCAACTGCAGTTACATTTGAAGACCAATATCTACTTCCCAGGGAAATACTGGATGCTGGTCAAGTCTAGTTTGGTTTAAGGTTAGTCCGATCGCTTCTCAAGGTGTTTCCTTCAATGTTTCAGTTGTCTATCCTGTGAGTTAATGTGAAAGCATCATCCTTCTCGGAGACTTTCACTTATCCTCGAGATTTTACAGCTTACCCTTCTCCTTATGAATCCAAATAAATGTCTGTTGCTACCAACAGTTGATGCTTTTGTCATCCTCTTTGGCTTTAGTCGCCCAACACTGTTTCATGATCAATGAGGAGACTTCTAATCATCAGCTTGTATTTAAGTGGTCTTCGCTCCTCGTCATGTCCGAAGTCCACCGGAATCAGCCTTCTCACGTTTATCAGTTCAGATGAAGGAGAAGAAATTCATTAGCATTTACTTACTAACCATTGGTTTCAGGCTAACAAATGGTCTTTACCCCTCTTTCTGCAGCTGACAAGACATGAGGCGTGTACTGTTGTCAATCTCAGATTTTTTTTCGACATAGAACTTTGCACATATGTGTGGTAGTTCAAGTCGCCACACTTCACTCAGCATACAAAGCAAGAGAAGAAAGTAGGAGACATGCATAATATAGACAATAAACAGAGGTGTGAGACAAAGGTATAGTAATAACGAAGAACAAAACAGTTTAATTGGAAATCATGAGTCACAAGGAGTGGATGCATCTGTACCAGCCATTGAGAACGATTTTGAGCCATGTCACCAATTGTTTCCAACCATTGGTTTTTACCGTCCAAAGGACCCCAACCAGTCAGGAAGTCTGCACCTTCCTACGTGGCTTAGACTAATTGTTGTGGATTTCATTGACTGGTGCCATGTTTTCGTTTGACGGCCGATAGCTCTTTTCCAGCCTGGCCCTATATCAGCTAACATTGCCCATTGTCGAGGAAGGCGATGACTAGGCATACGTAATACATGTCCTAATCATCTCAGTCGATGTAATTTCACAGTTTCGTCTATTGATTTCCCCGCCTTACCTAGCACTCGACTCCTAACCTCAATATTGCTCACCTTATTATACCACTTCCAGCGGGAGATAGAACGCAGACACCTACGATCGAAGACAGCTAATCTTTTCATGTCTTCTGCTCTCAATGGCCATGTCTCACAGCCATAAAGGAGGACGGAGCGGACTGTTGAGCAGTACACACGCCCTTTGGTCGATAGTCGGATATCGCGTCTACGCCAGAGGTGGCGTAAACTGGCATATGCGAAACGATCTTTCTGTATCCGTGCTGAGATTTCGTCAGAGGTCAACCCGTTGGGGCTGATGGTACTTCCCAGGTAAGTGAAGTGGTCAACGTGCTCTACCACTTCACTTCCTATTTCTAATCTAGGGGTCGGTGTAGTCCAATCCTGCAGCATCATCTTACATTTTACAGGGGCGAATCGTATTCCAAACATGAATCTCAGATACGAGAAAAAAGAAATAGTTATTTAGTACTCTTCCATTTCCAATGGTTGTGTTGTGATAGATTTAATTTCTCACTTAATGTAAGCTATTTTCAATGTTTACTTATTCCTAATACGATTTCAAAGAAAGAAAAAAACAAACAAAATAACAACAACAACAAAAATAAATGAATAAACAGATATTCAAACTGTTAACTTACACCAGATGACGATTTATTCGACACATCTATATCTAAATTAGTCAAAGATGAATTCATCAAATCTTTTTCTTCAGCTTTCATTAATTGTTGGTCAATAATACAAGTAGACAATTCTTCAAGTGGATGAGATGATTTCAATGGATGCAGTGTACTAGATGATTTAGAATGACATAGATTAGATGATGGTGTTGATGATGCTGATAATGATGATGAATGCTTTTCAGAGAAGCTGTGTTTATTACTATCACTACTATGCGTACTACTAGTATAACCATTTGTCAATTGCTCAATTTCAGACAATTGTGACGGTTTAGTATCAGACATATTAACAAGTGGACTAATAGGTGTAGTAGTAGTAGTAGTAGTAATGCTTTCATTGCTAATGGACACATTCGTTGCTGAATAAGGGGTGGACTTCGATACAATAGAAGAATGATGCACACTTTCACCATTGACTTCAGTAGTAGTAGTAGTAGTATTCGCAGTCACATTTAACGGAGATGAAGTATTCAACAGTGACAATGATGACTGACTAACAGATTCCCTTTACAAAAGAAAAAATGCAAAGAAAAAAAAATACAAATTTATTCTCCTTTCACCGGTAGGAAAACAGTGAAACAAATTTGAAAAGTCAATAAAAAAAAAGTTTTATTAATACAGGAATAGATAATAATTTTATTTATTTATTTATTTACAAGAGTTTGACCACGGATTGATATCAGTTAGAGAACCATTGAAAGCCAGCAGGGAGTACTGGACAGCTGTTTCATCCTAGTTCGGGAATCATCGGCAGTACGCACCCACCACCACCAGGATTCGAACCCAGGACCTTCCAGTTACAAGGCAACCTTGTATAGTATCCAGCCACTGGGCCCTGATTCAATCGCCCATGAATTCTAACAAACCAAAAAAGCTCTTGAAAAAATTATTTTATTACCAAGTGCCCACTTAGGCATTTAGAAAAAAGCACAACAGATTGAGCTGAGAAGAAATATACTCCTTTTCAATTAGTTCCTCAACATCATGGCATCTAAACTAATATATAGATTTTTTTGACATCAAAACCTTTTTGCCAATCAAGTGGTTATTCTAGTTAATCAGTCGTAGGAAAGTGCGTCGGTGGCACAGCGGTTAGGACTCCCGCCGATCATGCACATGGTCCGGAGTTCGATCCCCGGCCGATGCACTTCTTTACCTCACTAAGCCAGAAATAAAACTAGTAAAGAGCCTCTAGCTTGAAGCCCTATGTTCCACTGGGAACGTGAAAGAATAGAAAAAAGTGGTAGGAAAAGGAGGGGTGAAATTAAGAGGTTAAAGGTCATCAAAACAATTAACTAATTGATGTAAGTAACAAGATATGCAAGTTCTGAAAGAGGGGGGACATATTTATTACGGAATTCACATAAAGTTAATGCATTGGAGTTAGTAACCAGTTACTACATAATCAAGAAATTCATGAGATAATAATGACTAAGAAGAATAGGATGACTCAGTAGAATTACGTAAAATACAGACGAATTAGTGGAATTAGCTAGAATTGTAGAAGATTAAAAAAAGCGAAAGATAGTTACAAGGGGAGGGGGAAAATCGTTTTCAAACACATAATATGTATTAAGTTATTTTGTCTTTCTTCAAGAATGATTTTTCCCCTCCTCATGTAACTAACTTTCGACTTTTTTTATCTTTTACAATTTTAGCTAATTCTATTAACTCCTTTGTATTCAAGTATTGGTTTGTAGGGATTTGATTGATCGGTTTTCCAATGATTCTCTAACCGATGTCAGCTAATGATGAAGTCCTCTAACCAATCAGTTAAATCCCTACAAACCGATAGTTGATTATCAATGAGATGCTCAATAGTGGCTGGCCCTATTCAGGTAGGTATTTACCTGGGGTTCTAGTGAGAAGTTGTGACCAGTAGTGTACAGCAGGTCAGGTGTGAGGACATTGGCTAGTGGTCGCACTATGTCGTGAATTGGCAGAAGCTGGAATTCATGGGCCATTGGATCGGGTTTCAGTGGCTTAATGGTGTACGAGCTCGCCTTGTTACCAGAATGTGCCAGATTAAAACCCCGGTGATTGCGTACTGCCGAAGAGTCCTAAACTAGGACGAAATAGCTGTCCAGTACTCCCATCCAGTTTTCCAATGGTTCACTAACCAATGTCAGCTCATGATGAATTCATCCAACTAATCAAATAATTATATATATATGTATATATATATATATATGTATATATTTATTTATTTATTTATTTATTTATTTAAACGCATTAAAACTTGGTACAATATGGCACCAAGAAGGATGCGCCACACAATAATAATAAAACAACATAGATGAAAAAAAGGAAGGCAGGAAAAGAAAAAAATATATATAAGTAGAGAACGAATAAAGAACTTTATCTGGAAGGAAAACACTCATTCTTAACAGGTTCAAACAGTGTTCGTTAACTATCATCGGGAATGGAAGAAAGAAGGAAATCGCAACACATTCGCCATTGATTACGATTCTTGGCCATATCCGATAACGTTTCGAGCCATCGATTTGAGCTATCTCTCAGACCCCAACCAGGGAGTCGTGACACACCAACCGATGCTAATCTAGCACAAATATCCTTCATCCCACGACGCCACGTCATGGGCTGACCACCTCTCCGCCTTTTCCAACCCGTCCCAGGGCTAGCGAACAGAGACCTGTACGGAAGCCTCTGGGGTGACATTCGCAGCACATGTCCAAGCCACCGGAGCCGGTGTTTCCAGATGACGACATTCAATGAATGGTGATCTCCACTGTGTTCAAACACACGCCGCCGAACCTCAGAATTACTCACGCGATGATGCCATCGAACGCAAGCAATCCTGCGGAGACAGCGGTGATCGAACACGCAGAGTCGCCTCACATCCTCAGCTCGGAGAGGCCAGGTTTCACAGGCGTAGAGCAGCGCAGCCCGCACCGAAGCATTGTATACCCGACCTTTGACAGCCAGGCTAACGTCGCGACGGCGCCAGAGGTGGCTCAAGTTGATGTATGCCACCCTAGCTTTCATTATACGGTTAGAAATCTCATCCGTCACCCCTCCGCCAGCACTCACACAACTACCTAGGTACACAAACTTATCGACAACTTCAAGCGGTTCACCCGCAAGAGTGAGTGCAGGTACAGGCTCCTGCCAATCTTGTAACAGTACTTTGCACTTAGACGGCGCAAAGCACATACCATACTTACAGACACTGATCGCCAACTGATTAAGTGCGATTTGGGCAGCCTGCATGCTATCGCACAGTAAGACGATATCGTCTGCATACTCGAGGTCGAAAAGTCTATCTCCAGGTAGCAGATCTACACCACCTTCACGCACATCCTTCAGAGCTGACTCCAGAATGTCATCGATGGCAAAGTTAAAGAGAAATGGTGAGATTGGGCAACCCTGTCTAACCCCACTGTTGGTTGGGAACAGTGGTGATAGTTGGTTGTATGCCCTCACTCTACCTGAGGTGTTTCTGTATAGGGCTTTCAAGATGTTAACAAATTTCTCAGGTACACCTCTCTCTAACAGACAGTTCCAGAGCACAGTTCTGTCCAACGAATCGAAGGCAGCCCTAATATCAAGAAACACAACGATCGTTGGCCTGCAATACGTGTGGCGGTGTTCCAACAACTGACGAAGGGTGAACACATGATCAATGCATCCACGACCTGAACGAAACCCAGCCTGCTCTTCGCGAATCAATCCTTCGCGTATTTTGCACAGTCTGCGAAGCATGACAGCAGCCAATATTTTAGACGCAACTGGTAACAGACTGATACCCCTATGGTTGTCACACGAATTACGTCGACCCTTTTTAAAGATGGGGACGATAATGGCTTCGTTCCACATTGATGGTACGCTCTCTGTCTCCCACACCCTCCTGAACAACCCAGTTAGAGCCATTATGAGAGTCTCGCCACCATCTTTAAAAAGAGCCGGGGGTAATTTGTCTGGGCCGGGCGCCTTATGGCGTTTCAGAACTTGGAGTTCCTTACGGACCTCCGCTTCGGTGGGTGGGTCGGTACTAACCGACCAAGGAGCACTCGGGCTAATGATAGTAGACAATGAAGCTGGTGGCCAGCTGAACTGCTTCCCGAAGTGCTCTGCCCAGCGTTCCAGGCGTCTCTTCAGGCTGGTAATTGGCGTGCCATCTGCCTCACAGACCGTCTCGCTGACACCTTGTTTCTTGCTGCCGGTGGCTCGTGTGAGTTGGAACAGCTTCCGACTGTTGCCAGATGCAGCAGCTGACTCCATCTCATACGCACGTTCTGACCACCAGGCTTCGCGGTCCTTACGTAAACACTGTCTAATCTTGCGCGTGAGCGCCTTTCGCTGATTGTTGTATTCAATGCCAGCCGGAATGGACCGGCGTTCATCCAGGAGTTGCAAGGAACTCGCAGAAACCCAGTGGTTGTTAGCGGAGCATTCTTTCAAGCCGCAAGCGGCTACACTCGCCTTTTGCATCGCACCTTGCACATGAAGCCAGTGTTCATCTATACTACTTGGGGGGTTGCTGGCAAGCATTGTTTTCAACTCGTTCTGATATTTCAAAGAAGTAGCAGGTGCTACTAGTTTGCTCACATCAACGCTTAGACGACGGTTTTTACGAACCCCACCAAATCGCAAGACGAACTTGGCACACACTAACGCATGATCGGAGTCCAGGCATGTGCTCCGGAAGGAGCGACAGTCTTGTATGCATCCTCGCCACCGGAAACTGACCGCAATATGATCAATCTGAGTCCACGCTTGCTTCGCAGAGGGAGGACGCCAGGTAGCGCTACGGCGATGGCTGTGCCGGAAGTTGGTGCTGGCTAGAAATAGGTTGTGATCCGCGCAAAGCTGCAGAAGACGGTCCCCATTATCTGACCTGCGACCATGTAGTCCCCACTGACCACCTAGACGACTCTCCTCTGAGCTTAGACGCCCGACCTGTGCATTCAAGTCCCCAGCTAGCACTACGATATCCCTCCGACCCGCCTGTTTCAACAGATCGCTCAGTTGGTAGTAAAACTCATCCTTCATTGCATCCGGGCTGCAATCCGTCGGTGCATAGGCAGAGACAACAAATAGACACCGCCTATCTGGCCTACTACCCCTTACTTTCGTATATCCTTCCAGCCTCACAGCACATAAACGACTGTTAATGGGAATCCAGTCGAGCAGTGCAGCTTCGGCTCTAGCGCTCAGTGCGATACCAACACCAGCTACGCCGGATGCTGATGCCACAGGGTCCCCGGATATATATATATATATACAGTATAATATAGTATAGTTGACATTATGTCGGTTCTAAGGCAGTCGATCAATCATTAAATCACCTGGATCTGTTGGAATATTATTGTTCAACTTTCAAAATAATGTTGGCGCATCAAAAACAGGTTAGTGAACGAGGAAACATCAGCAGAAAAGTGAATTAACAATCATGCAGAAAGAAATTTGCACACAAATGATCACAAATGATTCTATTTTTAGTAAATCTACGTTGATAGCTAATACATTGACGATAATAAATTTATAACCACACTAATCTATCAATCTGTTCATTTCTGTTTCAAAATTAGAAATGGTAAGCACACTGAGTGATTATGCATGAGATTATGTACAGAATGAAATAGAGCGAGACACACACACACAGTAAACATATAAACAGACGTGTATTTCCATCAAAACAATACTTGTAGTATAAAATGCGCACTTCGCTTTAGCTATAGATAGCCTAAAAATAGACATGCGATGACAAGAGAGCATACGAGAATGTATGCTTCCTTCTGTTGAGTAGAAATTCAGTATGACGATAGTAGTAGCTTCACAAAACGACGAAGAGTCTCGCTCATAAACTTTGAAGATCTCCATTTCCTTACTAGCCCAAATTTATTTATTACTTTTATTTGATTCCTCCACGTTCCGCGTAGAACAGAGGGCCTATAAAGCTAGAGCTTTAAAGTCTCGGCAGCAGTGGTTTCATTTTTACAGGGTGGAGTTTGCTAGTCTCACAACCAACCTTTCTTCTTCACTCACTTTACTACCGGGGATCGAACCCTGGACCAAGAGGGGGCGTGGTTGACAAGAATTTCACCATTCAATTACCAATGCACGTTACTAGCCAAAATGCTTAACATTTAATCGAACCTAGAACCCTGACTGCGTTCACCATTATCAACAAGCAAAGAAATGCAACCTTACTTTAATTTTCTGAGTGTATTGCTATAAAGTAATTGCTATATAGGCACCTGTGTACAAAAATGAAGTTGTGATTAGTCTCATTAATCTCGCACCCATTATGTATTCTGTATTCCTACTATTATTTTTTTGACCCACTCATCTTAACTCACTCATTTGATTTCAAATCATTTCTAAATGCCTTCTTTGTATATTATTACGTAATGCTGCTATAAGCAGATAAATATACTAGCAATCATCTCGAAAATGATTATTACAGAAGGCATGTAGGCAAGAAGCGATAAAATGGTGTTTTTTCATAGTGAGTTAACATAGTAATCTTTTTAGCAGTCTTAATTGAAAGTCATTATATGGTCGTTATTCGAAACAGGCTGTGGATAATACTACACCCAGTTGACCAGGCTGATGCTGGTGGGTACGGGTGGTTGGTATTCAGCTCAATAGCCCACCGCCTGAAAGTCGAATGCATAAACCAGTAACCTGTATCTCAACAATGGAAAAGCCATGATATATGCACTCAGTAAATCCCGACACGATAACATTTGGTGAACAACTTGGTCGAAGGTATTTTAACTTCATAACGGAATATTTTTTTAAGTTGTTAAACTTGAGGCACTAGTAAGTACCAAGGAAGTGCGACCGTGAATGGACCAATGAGACTTCTCACGTGACTCCAAAGTCTTATTCCGCTTGATTTTAGGTAAATGCTTGCTGTAACGTGCTTATTTCTGTAGTTTGGTGGAGGCGAAGTGTCCCAGTACTGTCTAGATGTGGGATTGATTAGAAAGGGAAGAATTTGTCCCTGTGGAGGTGTTATGAATACAAAAAGCTTCAGTAGGTCTGTTGATGGACACGTTCACTGCTGTACAGTTTGCTTGCAATGAGTTAACCTGAGGGAAGGTAAGCTGATGATTATACTATTTCGTAGAAACATTTTTTATCAGATAGCATTTGTTAATAACCCAGACTTTGTATATTTGTAATTACTGGATTTTAAAACACTGTGTGAGAGCTACAGCTGCTGAAACGAGGAATGGTCTCGTCTCAACCATTCAGCGGTACAAGCACTGCACAGATACTGCATCTTGGAAGATGGAGAGAGCCACTTCTTTACTGCACGCTGTTGTACATATGGATAAAACAATTCTAATAAAGAGGAAATACAACTGAGGTCATGAAAAAGCAAATAACGTTTGAGTGATTGCATTGGACGATACCTCCTTACGGAAAGGATTAATCAAAAGAATACCAGACAGAGAGTCTACTAGTTTGAAACCAATTATCCCTGGGTTGATGAAACCAGGATCTATAATACACACAGATGAATGACAAAGATATAACTCATTGTGATCCCTTGGATATACTCACCATAGAGTCAACGATTCTAACAATTTTGTAGATCCCATTACAGGCACCCGCACCAAATCTTTTCAAGGATTTCGGGGAAGATTGAACAGTAGAATTAGAGCCATTAACGGATCTCAACAAAACTTTATTTACATCCATTCAGACATATATATAATGTGGTTTAACTTCTCTATCAATACTCCAATGGAAAACTGGGTGGCGTTTTTGTCAAACGTCAGAGGAAAGGATCCTGAAAAACATTTTCATGCCTTTTTTTCATCCATTATTTTTAATAAATATGTCTAATTTATGCGTAAAAATAACCTTTTTCATGTGATTGGTGCGTTCAGAGTCACTTGTACGTTAATACTTAACCATGCTCAAAATTTAACTTCGCTGTACCTTTACTAATGATCTAGACATCAGATAGTGACACCAAACACCACGCGATTAGTAGGCATGATTACTTCTCATATTATCTTTTTTTAATAAAATTTAAATTATAAATAACTATCAATAAACATACCAATATTTCTTTAACCAAAATAATTCTTCCGACGTGGAAGTAGTAATACAAGAAGATGTAGAAGAAGAAGTATTGAGAGTGGTTAAAGCTTCTTGACCAACTTCATACATTGTAGACATGTCCTCAAGTTCAGATAATTTCATTGAAGATAAATTGAGAAGCTGTTTACGAAATTCTAAAGCATCTTTAATCTGATCAAATTCTAGAGTAAAACTGACAGGCTAAAAATGAAATATGAATAGTGAGCTTGCATATATATAGTTCTATATAAAAACTATGCAGTAAATAACAGTACAATAAAAAAGTGAATACCGAACAAAAGTTAAAGGATATATATATCAAACTATGAACAGTGTACTGCGAAAAGAAGTTTTTATTCGCGAAGCGACCAATCCCTTAAACAGTCAGTTGTAAGCGACTACCTACAGATGCCAATGAGAAAGATGTCATAGGCGGCTAGGACTGCAAAACCATGAGAGACATATTCAGATTTTCAACAATAATGTGAAGTCAGTTATTCTATGTGGTCCAGAAACTTGGCTCATTGAGAACAGAATTTCCACCAGCTGCGTTTTCTGTCTGGATACTGAAGATAAGATGAACGGAAAGGGTCAGCAACAAGGAACTCTATGGCAACGAACCAACAACCTGTCGTCTAATAAATATACAGGAGAAAATCGATATGAATCAGGCATACGCTGCTGAGCGATATCACACATTAGACCTTTGAGTCGAACCTGAATAGGAAATGATGCGTTGAGCAAGTAGGAGTAACATGTAGGAGATCGTGGGAAAAAATAAAATGAAATCTTACTGGCCACTGTGGGGTCAGTTAAAAAGAATACAGAGAACACAGTGAAGTGGAAATGAGCTGCTGTAGATCTATGTTCCACTCTGCCTGTCTGTTTTCGACATAGAAATTTGCACCGATGTGCAGCAGTTCGAGTCGCCATACTTCACTCAACACACAAAGCCAGAGAACGAAGTAAAAAGAAACGCAAAATAGAGATAGTAAACAGAGATGAGGCAGAAATAATATTAATATGGAAGACCAACAATAGTTTTATTGGATATTATAAGTCACAAGGAGTGGATACATCTGCAACAACCATTGACAACGATTTTGAGCCATATCACTAATTGTCTCCAGTCTTCACTGGTTTTTACTACTCCAAAAACCCCAACCAGGAACTGTTGTGGATTTCATTGACTGATGGAACTGTTTTGGTTTGACCAACACTAGCTGTTTTCCAACCTCAACCTGTGTCAGCTAACATTCCCTGTTGAGGATGGCTGTGGTTAGGGATGCATGCGTAACACATGTCCTAACCATCTCAATCGATGTAGCTTCACAGCCTCGTCGATTGATTTTCCCTCCCACCCACCTAGCACTCGACCAAAGCGCAACCTCAATATTGCTCACCTTATTATACCACTTCACACGGGAGATAGAACGCAGGTACCTATGATCAAAGACAGCTAATCTTTTCATGTCTTCCGCTCTCAATGACCAGGTCTCACAGCCATAAAGGAGGACAGAGCGGACTGCTGAGCAGTACACACGCCCTGTGGTCGACAGCCAGCTGGATATCGCGTCTACGCGAGAGACGGCGTAAACTGGCATATGCGAAACGATCTTTCTGTATCAGTGCTGAGATGTTGTCAGCGATCAACCCGTTGGGGCTGATGCCACTTCCCAAATAAGTGAAGCGGTCAACGTGCTCTACCACTTACCTCACTTCCTATTTCTAAACTAGGAGTCAGTGTAGTCCAGTCCTGTAACATCATCTTACATTTGGCGGGAGCGAATCACATGCCAAAAATTCGTAGTTTGCAGCTCAAGGTGAAGAATTTATGTTCCACTCGGAACCTAAGGAACTTATTGTTATTATTAGTATTATTATTATTATACTGTCAGTGTCGCATTTAAGACTTCACCTGAATATCAACCAATCAGATGTAATAGCACACAAAACGCGCTTAATCACAAACTCGTACAACACACTCGAATACATAACAAAACATAGGAATAAAAAGAAGAAACACACACACTTACAGATAGGTGAAATCGATATTTTTCAATTGTTTTTTCCCCAGAGACATCGTTAAGACTTTTCAAAAATACTGTATTCTTGGCACAACTTTTATCATTATCATCATCACCATCAACATCTGAATCGATATCACTTGTGTTTGCTTTAAACTGCTCTGAAGTATTCTTATTCTTATTATTCACATTATTGGATACAATATAAAGTTTAACCTGTTGATTCGCCGACTTCTCTTTTGTATGGACAACAACATCGATTATGCGTTTTCCGCAGACTGGGAGGTGAACACGAGAATCTGTGGAAGAGGAAATATTTATTTCAAATGATAAATGAATAAGTTAACAATGAAATTAGTAATAAATATATCATTTAGTTTAGTGTGTAGGTGGTTCAAGGATAGAAAGCTCACTAACCATACATACAACAAGTGGTCCCGATTCGATTGGGCATGAACCCAACAACCTCACTCTGTAGAAAAATAACACTACCGCCACTGGAACTTCAGAGCTGAAGTATGAAGCCCTGTGCTCCACTCGATACGCAAAGGAATAAAAATAATAACAATAATTTAGCTACAAGAGCATGAGATTAGCTTTTGTTGAATGCTGTGTCTTTCGTGTATTCTGGTCTAGTGGATCATGTGGCATTTGTCAGCTTACATCATCTCCAAAATATTGGAAACGGCGGCTTGCTTAAAATTTGAGCTACCGAAAATCTAAATCACATCATTATACTGCATATATTTCCCTTTGTTCTCTTTATTCTAATCCATTAAAAAATATATGACCTCCTGATGGTGTGGTCTACTCTGGCGAGTATTTAAAATGTTTACAACCTGCTGATTCATGAATTTCTGCTAAATATTAGAAAAAAAAGTATAATCCCAGATAGCAACATATCCCAGTACATGAGGAGACAGTGAAGAGATATCATAATGGATTGATAGGTATTCCAGAGTCAAACATCACTGTGTCACACGATCTACCTGTCAATGAATATTTTATTTGAAGATCCCGTGGAAGAGAAAATATCATGGAATAAACTCCACTGAAAGTGGTGTACATTATATAAACACTGTAAAAAAAATAACGCTGTTATTATTATCTCTGGCGTAGACGTGGTATCCAGCTGACTGTCGACCAAAGGACGCATGTACTACTCAGCAGTTCGCTTTGCCATCCTTTATGTCTGTGAGACATGGCCGTTGATTGAAAGTGGAAGATATGAACAGGCTACATGTCTTTCATCATAGGTGTCTGTGTTCCATCTCCAGCGTTGGTTGATATAACAGAGTGAATAATATTCAGGTTAAACGTCGAGTTGTAGGTAAGGAGGGAAAATCAATCGACGAGTATGTGAAGTTACATCGATTGAGATGGTTAGGGCATGTGTTACGCGTGCATGTCTAGCCGTCGATCGCCTTCCTCGACAGTCAATGTTATCTGACACAGGTTCAGGTTGGAAAAAAGCTAGTGGCGGTCAAACGAGAACATGGCTTCATCAGTCAATGAAATTCACAACAGTTAGTTTAAGTCAGCCGGCCACGTAGAGAGATGTATACTTCCTGGTTGGGGTCTTTGGAGTAGTAAAAACCAATGAAGACTGGAGACAATTAATGATATGGCTCAAAATCGTTCTCAATGGCGCAGACGCATTCACTCTTTATGACTTGCCAGTCATTTCCAATTAAACTTTCCTTTTTGCCTCACACTTCTGTTTATTATCATCCTTCTGAATCTCTTTTTTCTCTTTTTGTCTTCTTTTGTATGCTATATGGAATGTGACAACACGAACTCCTGCATATTTATGCAGAGTTCTATGTCGAAACCATTCAGTATCCTGGTTTATGATTGTATATATAACGAAGTGCCATGAACAGAATTTTGCATTGCTTTATAAACTGGTAAAGAGCAAACAAGATGAAAATGAATTCCTTCTACTTTTACCACGACTTTATTTATTAATTGATTATTTATATATACCTTGATATTCTTAAACTGTAAATGGTTGACATGATTACGACAAAAATTTCTTCAACATTTCAACTTTTTGTACTCATCTGACTTTTCTTAGGTGATGAAGCTTGAAAAATTTATGAATAATGTCAAGTTAGATCATGAACCGACACCAGTCAAAAAACCATTGAAAGCTATGGAGTAATACTGGACAGACGTTTCTTCCTAGTTAATGACTCCTCGTAGTAGTGCGTACTCATTAGCCAACCACATATAACACGTAGGTTATAACGCCAGCCCGATGACCATTCCCGGTACTGGGATGGAATCCAATGGCCCCTGAATTGAAAATTCTACCAACTGGATATATATATATAGCGTCACCGCCATCCAATGTCATCAGAGAATACCTGTCCTCACATCGGACTTGGTAGACCCAACAACTACCCACTAGAATTCCAACAACTCCACCCTATAGTCCGTCACAGTCAAGTAGTAGATTGGTTTCCAAGTATTATTATGAAGGGATTCGAATGTCCACAGCTAGATCCGTAGAGGGATCTTGAGTGTGCAGACACCTAAAGATTCCCAAAGTAGGACGAAACATTTGTCCAGTACTATTTAGTTTTCAATGGTTCCTAACTGACTTCAGTTAGTGATCTAATTTGAAATTAATCAAACTCCTGCAGTCCAAAACCTGAAAGTATGTATAACACTTTTTGGCACAGAATTGTACAACATCAAAGAGTAGAGCTTAGCACAGGAACTTCAAAGTGGATAGTGACAAGACAGAGCACATAATTGTTATGATTACTTATTCCTGATATACTTTAGTTGGTTAGAACTCCGGTGAGTCAGCCACTTGGCAAAATAGTATGTGACGACGACTGTTGGTTGACCAGGCCGAAATAAGTGGAGCGGGACTCAAGCCCGCGACCAAATGCTTGAAAATCAAGTGATTACACCAATGAGCTACCTCCACATATAATAATAAAATTTATTAAACCATTAGTATGATTATTGTTACTCTAGTATCACGCGTTATAAAGTACTGAATAAAAGGAAATAAATGAAATGAAGACATTCGCACCTACGGATATTTTTTTGTACAATATGGAATGTAACAACTTGAACTGCCGCACTTCTATATTAAGTTCTATGCTGAATCTCTCAATCAACCACTGAGTCACACATATCCACTTTCACTCATAACACTTACCCAATACATGAATCAATTTCATGGGGAAAAAAGGAAACTGCTCACTTATTATTTAGTTTTACTGGCCAAGATGAGTTCCCTATGTTCAGGCACAGTATAAATGAACGTTTAGGAGAGAGAGAATAATTACTTGAGTGTATGTATGCAACCGTTAAAAATGTAACTGAGTACACCATGCTGATAGGGAAATACTCTGTTGACTAATGCTTATATGCAGGCAAACGATGATATAAAAAATGACAGATATATTTAGTAAACTAGATTACGGCGGCAATCTGTGTACAGCAAAACAACTAAATTAAAGACAGTGGTCAATAATTTATGCATATATACATATGTGTGTGTGTGTTTGGGAGCTACCAGTCAGTTCTTCTAAAAATATGGTTCTGAGAGGGCAAATGAATTGTAAGAAATACTCCATTTCATAATAATTCATTTGCTGGATATATCTCACCACGAGACATACTTTATTGCTCATAGTCATAACAAGTGTAGTTAGACAAAACTGAAACTCATTTTTTTATAGTTCTCCATCTTCTTTCCCATTTGTTATCTGGGTATCAGAATTTTCCAGATGTAATAAGTCATATCGGACGAGAACCGGTGCTTTCAACGTGGTATGGTCACCTGGAGAAGCAGCAAAGACAGGACTCCAGGTGAACATAGACAAGACGGAGGTTATGAAAATAACCAACCAACAAAAACCACAACAACAACAGCAGCAACATCCAGCACCAATCACCATTAACGGGAGGGATTTGAAAGAGGTTACTTCTTTCACTTATCTAGGGAGCATTGTCTCAACTACAGGCAAACGAAACGGACGAGGATGTCAAATCGAGAATCGGGAAGGCGAGAAACACATTCATCAACCTGAGACCAATCTGGAAATCTTCGTCACTCAGCATCAACTACAAAATTCGGATTTTCAATACAAACGTGAAGTCAATTTTGCTTTACGGATCAGAAACTTGGCGGGTCACCAAGAATATTTTCAACAGGTTGCAGATCTTTATCAACAACTGTCTTCGCTCCATACTGAAGATTAGATGGCCGGAAAGAATCACCAACAAGAAGAAACTATGGGAACAAACAAAACAAGAACCAATCACTCAACAAATATGCAGGAGGAAGTGGAGATGGATTGGACATTCGTTGAGGAGGCCGCTGGGTGACATCGCGCGTCAGGCCATTACTCGATTGGAACCCGAAAGGGAAGCGGCGAGTGGGACGTCCAAGGGTGACATAGAGGAGATCGTGTGAAGAGGAGTTGAAACAGCATGGAATAACATGGATGCAGGTGAAAAGTACAGCAGAAGACAGAAACAAGTGGAGACGTGCAGTTGAAGCCCTATGTTCCACTAGGAACCCAAGGGAACAATAATAATAATAAGTCATATCTATTGCATGTATTCTTAGTTGACTAGGTAAGTGAAGCTTCTGTTTTCAATCTCTCCCACTCCACTCCGAAGTATTAGATTTCAAGACTCACCTTGTCCTATCCTACTACATGGATGTGTATAGCTGTGTGTAGTGCCATAGTTGGGCTTTTCTTCTAGATTTCTTAATTCATTAGAGTCTAGTAGCCTAGAATCCATTAAATGTTTGTATTCAGATAATCTAATTAACCCTAATCTACTTACTACACTCTACTTATCTAACCTAACAACCACTGCAAGGTACTGGATAAACCACAAGTGGGAAGGAAGAACAAGAACCATAAAACTGAAGTTGTCACGTGTAGCACAAGCCCAACTCATCCTAATCGATAAAGGTTTACAGCCCATATAATTATATTGAGTTTTTTTCTTTGGAACAAAACCAGTGGTTCTAGGATCTGAGATACCCTAATCAGTGTCAGCACTGTCAGACACCTTAAATCGCGTTTATCGACTACAGTTTAGCCAATCATTCAATTTTCCCCAAGATTTCCTTTAATTGGCCTTAACAACTGAATCGCCACTGGGTCATCATTTGGCTAATAGTTTGTTGTACTTTTGTAAATAGGTAAAAAAAGGGGATAACCTTTCTTAATCTCTTTTGAAAGTCACTCACAAATTGTCCAATCAGAAACGTGGACACATTTTGTTCAATGTATATTCAGTGAAGTGTATATTATTCACACAGACTAATTAGAATATGTTTATAATCAGAGTTGAAGTAAGTTATCGAAGAACAGTAAAAATCTATCACAGATTCACTTAAACGAGAATAACTGCTAACGCTATTATCCCAACTGTGGTCATTGTGAGTTGAAGTCAGTGGTTCTTGTGTATGAGCATGCGTAACACTATTAAGAAATAAATATTTCCAAGAGTTAGTTTTTTAGGGATTTGATTTCCTTCAGTTTTGATCACGGATTATTATCACTTAGAAAGCCACTGAACGCCAGGAAGTATTGGACGGCTTTTTCATCCTAGTTTGGGACTCTTCATCAGTACGCCAGCACGACCCCAACAGGTGCCTGGATTTCCAGTGTGAAGTCGTGACCAATAGGATCCACCAGGTCGAGTGTCAGGACATACACTCACCGATAACATTTTTTTTATTAGCGCTTGAAACCACACTGTATTTTTGGTACAAGTATGGAATTTTCAGCATGTGATATCGGTAGCCCAAATTTTACAGGCCGACCATAGATATCAGGTGTGCGTCGGCAGGTGATCGAACCTCGGACCATGTACATGGTCGGCGGGAGTCCTAACCACTGTGCTACCGACGCACACTCTAAAATCACGAATTGGTAGAAGTTAGAATTCATGGACCACTGAATCCCAGCCTAAATGTCCGGACATTCAACAAGCTTGACCTCGTGAACTAACGGTCACGGTGCGTACCGATGAAGAGTCTCTAACTAGGACGATACAGTTGTCCAGTATAGTACTCTCTGATTTTCAATGGTTCTCCGTGATCAAACTCGAGAGAAATAAATAGCTATCTGAAAACAGGGTGTCTGCACAGCCACTATCTCTACGCAATATTTGAGATACTCATTTTGTTTCACTCTTATACTTATCTAAATTCTATTGATTCTCTTCTCCCCTTTTCCTGTCTACCTTTGTGTGCTATTTGGAACGTGGCAACTCGAACTGCTGCACTTCGGTGCCAAGTTCTATGTTGAATCCAGCAGCAGTTAGTGGGCTCGAGTCCCGCTCCACTTATTTCGGCCTGGTCAACCAACAGTCGTCGTCACATACTATTTTGCCAAGTGGCTGACTCACCGGAGATCTAAACAACTAAAATATATTAGGAATAAGTAATCATAGCCGTTATGTGCTCTGTCTTGTCACTATCCACCTTGATATAGCGAAAATTAACATAAACTTTGACGCTTTTGTTTGTCGTCAAAGTACCATTCACTCGTGTGATAAATAATATACATTTATTGTGTAAACAGTAGAAGCTAAACACTACTCTCGATCACATATACATTTCAGGATAGAAATCTAAACAGTACAAAAATCGATTTCATGACCTCATGTGAACTTATTAGAAACCCATTTGAAAAGCAAAACATGGAGAAATCAATCGTTGTATACACATAGAATAGCTTGTTAGAGTCACACCAAAACTAACTATTCACCTTCATTTATCATATCTGTATTAAGCAGTTGTGTGTGTTGTATAGGGTATCACACCAAAATGATACTAATAAAAACCAATTCAAAAGAAAAATGAACAGCTTACTCAAGAAGCTCCTGTATAATATATAACAATAACAATACTAAGTCATATATCAACATGCAAAGCATAATGAAGTGTATAGGTACTCTGTTATTTGGCTGATGATGGCTAGCAATGGAATCCAGTAGATGCAATGTTTCGTGCTGCTTGAAACTCGTCAGCTGTGAAAGTACTAACATCCCAAATGAGTGACGGTGTTCCCTACAAGACTAGAAGCCCAGGATCTATGTCTCCACATACACAAAATACATCAGAAGTAGAGTTACTAGATTGTTCCTTATTAGATGATTGCAGATAATCGTCAAGAAGCCTTCAGCTTAGGCTTTGTGTTTGTTGATACCCATCAGCAAGGCGTATCTGTAACCTCGAAGCAACTCATATCCCCTCTGAGATTCGAATGCGTATCATCCAATGCTGCAGTCAGAGATGTTACCACTGAACTATTAGGGATCATGAGTCACCTCATGTAGGACTTTATTGGATACTTCCATTGAACACTAGTTACTTACTACCTAGTGTTTAATCAAAGAGGTACCAGGATACTAAACGTTATAAATCCGATAAACAGGCGTTAAGTAACCATATTAATAATAATAATAATAATAACAATAACCGGTGTAGAACGACCACCCTCAGTCACGCCTGATGCCTTACACATAAGCACACATATTTACGATTGCCATTTTAATATAGGAATGAGGGCTATTCAACATAATTTATTATAAATCAATGAAGACAAGGAAGGCCTTAAGAAAATAAAAAAACAACAGATATAGTCATTCAGTAAAGTCTAAGAATGGAAGAAATTGAACTTATAGAGTAAGAACTATGTTCTCAAGTGTGAAAAGTGTATTGTATTGTAGAAATTAGAGTATCATTTCGAACCCCGTTACTTAGAAAAGAGTTTTATGTAAGGGACTGTGAGATACACTTATTTACCGAAGGTTAATGATGCTATCTAGTCGCTCAGAGTTAAAAATTAAGCGGAAAAGGATTTCAACATGGGACTCAACTGGTTGAAAGGGAAGTCAATGAATCACACATGCAATTTATTGTACACACAAACGCCTCTGTATAATGCTAACATTCATTTAAGAGCTTTTATGACCACACTGACAGAATACACTTTCATATATGTTATATAAAACACACAAGGAAAACTAGTTCATAATGATTCTTCTTACTGAGGTAGTCCCACCTCATCTACAATCTGTGAGTATTTCAGTGAGGTAATGATTGAAAAATGAAACGCAAATCAAGATCATAGTGTGGTGAGAGCTGGCTGCAAGCCAAAATTGTAGACAACGGTTTAAGTGAATGTTCACGTCCTGAATCAGG